AAAAACCCCTCCCAACAAAATGGACCCCCCCACAACTTTATCAAAAAGTACCTAGCCATTCAACCCACTACAGCACAACCAACACAAGCTATGAAAAGGATAACACTGCCATGCATCAAAAATATCTCAGAAACAACCACAGACTATTACAACCACACGGCATCACCATAGCACACAAATCAACTAAAGCCCTCCAAAACATCTTAAGTAAACCAAAAGACCCAGTATCCAAAGAAGAAAAAACAGGGGTCATCTACATACAGTGTAAGGACTGAAACAGCCATTATGTAGGACAGACAGGCAGAAGACTAGCAGAGCTCATCCATGAACACCAAGTAGCAGTCAGAAGACATGATGAAAACTCCTTAAACTCTCAACACATGGACAGACTGAAGCACAGTTTCAACTGGGAAACTATGAGCATCCTAGACCAAGCTAAATCCAAAAATGCTAGGGAATTCCTGGAAGCTTGGTATTCAGATAAATCAGCTATCAATAGACACATAGAGATAAGCCACATTTATACACCTTTCAAAAGAGACAACAAAAAAGCTAGGATGGAAACAAAAAGAGTAGAACACATCCTCTCCAGCGACAACACCCAGATAAGCAGGGATTAACACTAGACAAATAATCAAGCAGAAAACAAAACTCTAATCAAGGAACTACCAAGAAGAAACCCCCACCAATGCTGGCAGGGCAAGCTATTGTATATAAACAGGGAGAAAACCCCACACTCACTAGCACTGATGATGTTACCTAGTCAGGTAATGAAGTGTCTGCAAGCAAACACCAAGCTCAGAGAGCACCAAAGACTGCACAGTTCAACCCCGAGTTACATATATTATCTTCTGTTAGAATCATTATCCATTCCAAGATACTTTGCTACTGAGTTTTGTGCTTGTGGTAGATTGCTAGTTGAAAGACAAAAATGTAGTCTCTTTTAAGTCTGTCTTGATTCCTGGTGACTTCAGAAATATGCTTTTGTAAGGGTTCTTGGCAGCACTATAGAAGTGGATTGCCACTATCACCATCTGGGATATCTTTTTGACTTCCTATCTAGTGTACAGTCCTGACATTCCATGGAGGTCTGCTGTCCAACTACTAACCAGGCCTGACCACGTGTAACTTTCCATCCCGAACATGGCCAGTCAAGTGCTGCTACATGCTGAATGTTTGCTAGGAATAGAATGTCAAGTCAATATTTCTGAGTTTGAATATCTTCCTTCAGTGTGGCCTTGCCTGCCATTTCTGGTATTGGAAGAATACTTGGCATTCCCTGATTCAGGACCAATTTTGTACTGCTACTCCTATAATCCACATTTTGGTTTGCCATGACAGTTCAGTGAAGGACAACCACTTTTCTGGTGGATGGTTTCAAGGCCAATCACTGGAATCTCAGCTAAGCATCTATCACCAGCTGGGTTTGCACAAACACACTAGCCTTGGCTAAATGGGGTTCAGTTGTTTTCAGTTTAGCATATTGTAGAAACACAGCTGTTGTCTTTGCGTATTGTGTGAACCAGGCCACCCATTAAGCCATACTATAGTTTATTTGTTATGGTGTATTATTTTATGTAATCACAACAACTGTGTTTGGTTAACTTGGGTTTAATATGTAGGATGATCCCTGCCTTAGAGCAGAGATATATTGGCCAAGCATCTAAAACAGCTTGAGGTTTATTTATAATAATAGGAAGGATCCTTTGCTTAGTGATAGGATATCTACTCGTGGGCAAAAGGACCCAGGTTCAGTTCCTAGAGTAAAAAGGCTTTTAGGAAATGGAACTATTGCTTTTTTCCTGGGACCTTGGTGAGCTGTGGCTGTCAGATTAAACTAACCTCCCACAACTTGGTAGACCTCAAGTCCCAGAATTCCTCAGCTAGCATGGCAGTTTCTGAGAAGTCTGGAAGCTGACATTCCCATATTTGGAAGACTCCCATGCTAGGGAAAGCTGAAGTAGATCAGATTGCCTGACTAGACATGAGACAGTTGCTTTCGTTCCCAAGAAATTCAGGGTTGTCTTAATGCAGCCTTCTCCAATCTAGTGCCTTCCAGATGGACCATGTTGTCTGGAGCTGATAGGACACCAGATTGGGAAAGAATGCCTTAATGGCTTACAAACTGCATGTGCCAATAATAGAGTTTGCATGCTGTATGAGACAGAGAGTGTTTGCCTGAGGGTTTATCATTTAGCTTGCAACATGTGCTGCTGGAGTTTTATTTTGGAAGAGTGTTCAAGAAGGAAATATAGTAACTGGGCTCCCCATTTATTTTAGGCTCAGGCAGCTGGTTCTCCACACACTTCCCCCACCCATGGGGCTGGCCGCTCGATGCCAATGCCAGTCAGGTCCACATCTGCTGGTTCTACCCCAACTCATGTACCCCAAGATTCACTTACTGGTGTTGGTGGAGATGTCCAGGAAGCATTTGCACAAGGTAAGCCATAATATATACACCCTTTTGTGCATGTATATATAAAGTATGAGGGAAGGAGCGGGGAAGGGAGAGGATGAAAGCTCTAGGGTGTGCAATTTATTTTTAGAAAGTATTTTAAAGTATACTTCTGCAGGAGAACAGAAAAAGCATCCACTGTGTCCTACAAGGTACTCTGCTTTTGTTCCACTCATTTCTTTGTGTTTCACATACACAGGGTTATTATCTAGCCAGTTCCGTGTGGTTCATGCAAGCTGCTTGTTAATTTTCTCTAAGTATACCACTCAGTTGGAGATGGAACATGCTCAGATCCACCTGACTGCCCAAGTACTTCTGGGAGGTCATTCCCCTAACCTGTTGAAAATAGCAGGTGTTGAAATTGCCTGGGGTACCCGCAAAGTCCCCATTGGGACTGCTGCTATGGCAGCCAGTGCTGCTGCTGGCTTCCTCTTCCCTCTTTTGCATGAGTTCTCCAGCAACCGCAGTTGGGAGACTTGGCATGAGCTCTTCTGTAGCAGGCAGTGGCAGCAGCTGTGGCTGATGTTCTCTTTCTCCCACACCTTTTTTCTAATACTGCCCTCCTCCAGTTTCCAGCTACCACCACCTCCTCAAGTCACAGCTGCCTCTAGCCTCCAGGAAGCCCAGCTGTTCACCTATGGAAGGTATAGAGGTGATCGCTGCTGCTGTCATCACCACCTTCCAAGGAACTGCCACAGCAACCGTACCTCTTCTCTCGCTCAGCTTGGCCACTTTGGGGTGATGAGCCAGGAGTCAAATCACTTGTTGACTAGCTCAGATAACTCCCTGAATGTATAATTACTTCTATTTACTGCTTCCGACGGCCGCTTCCTCATGCCCTCAACCTTTGGTTATCTTTGCCCCAGTCACATTCACATAAGACTACTGTCTTGCGTTCTTTGCGGGGCTCTCTTTAAAAATACAAGTGACAAAAGGTGAAGGTGCCCCAAGAGATGGCTTAAACGGTCGTAGAAAAGTGCGGATCGTGTTACAGCTACTTTGAATTAGTTTGCATTGGCTGATTGTTTCTGAATTTAGTGAAAAAAGCTGGCATTGACTAAAAGCAGGAAATAGCTTGGGCCAGGGTTATTCAGTGGCCATCTGAACATTGACCATCCCTTAAGGTCAGTGAGTGCCTTCTCACTGGCGGCCCCTCTGTGCTACATTTTCTCCCCAAGCCTTACGTGTGGCTCCTCTTTTGCTTCTGTCACATCTTTAAAACCTTTTTCGTTTTCTATTGCTTTTTTATGAAGATTCTATTGGCTTTAAAATTTTAGGCCCTGCTGTTTTTAAATAGTGTCAAATGTTAATGCCACTGTTGTAAATTTGGCTTTGATATACTGTTCCCTCATTTGTGTGGTTAGCTGTAATTTTCACAACAAATCTGCTAATGGCCAAGAAATGATTGTGGAAAATAGAGAATCAATACAGCTGCAGTTTAGGACACTGAGATCCTGCGCTTGGCCATTCCCAGTGTCTGAGTGGTATAAAAAACCAAAACCCTCCTTAAATTAAATGCACACCAAAGATTTTTTTGGTGGAAGTGATAAGAAACACAAGATATTCCCTTCCCCCTTCCTTTTCGCTCTTGTCCAACTGAGTGCATTTAGTTAGCTGTTTCTCCCCCAAACAGTGTCTGAGGTCTTTCCCCACTGTCAAGTTGAACTGCTTTCCACCCAATCTTGTATTGGTGAAAAACAAGGAATAAACACTTTTAACATTGGTTCAGCCAAGCATGACTTAAGCCTTTCTCACTCACGGTCTGGAGATGGGAGGACACAATGGCATGGAGAGAAGGGGAAAAGAAGTAGTGTCAGAGCATGACTGTATATGTTAAGTGGGGAGACCCCCTTAGCATCAGTCTTTACATCTATAGGCACAGATTCTCACCAATATTTCCTGGAACACAGACCGTCCTAGCAAAGAGAGAACTTTTGGACTGAGGAATAATTTCCACTTTAGCTATTGAGGTCCACAGTGTGTTACAGTGGTGTTACAGCCTCTAATTTTCTTAGAACAATGAGTTTGCATATTCATCCCCCTTTCTCAGGAACTCGGCGGAACCTCCGTAATGATTTGCTGGTAGCAGCTGATTCAATTACCAACACGATGTCATATTTGGTGAAGGAGCTTCATTCAGGTATGCAAGAAATGTGTATATGGATCTAAGTAATGGACTCAGGGGACCTGCCAGGCACATCTGAGTGCCAGTGATGTTTCCTCTAGTGAGGCTTTGAATGGAGAAATCAGTCCAAAGGTTAATACAAGTTACCTCAAGAAGATAAGAAGTTGTAAGAAATATGTTGGTCCAGGACAGCGTTTCTCAATCTCAGAGCCTTTAGGATGTGTGGACTTCAGCTCCCCAAATCCCCCCCCCCCCCACCACCGGTTGGGGATATTTGTGGG